TTAACAATGTGTCTGGTATGGAAATTTCCTTTGACAAGATTATCTCATGTGAACAAGCTACCTCAGCAGTAGGTGGTGATGCATTTACTGCATGTCAACTGCAGGACCTCAATAGAACTACATCAAAAGTTAGACATGTATAAATGTAAAGCTATAACTATGCCTTCACTTGCTTATGTAACTACCAATGTTATACTGCAAGCTGATGGAGTGACTTCACAGCAGGGGTATGTGGTACTTAAAACATGACCTCAACCAACATAATTCAATGTAAATTGAACAAACCACTGCAACTATTAAAGTAGGTTAATTTTCAACAAAAATGAAGGTGATGTTTAAAGGGGCATTATGTAGTAAGATTGCAACCACGTGTGTGCTCGTACGCGTGCTCGCTTGAACTCATGAGCGAGCATTATCCGAAACAGAACCACTTTCATACAGAGATCCTGCAATAAACGCAGAAACACCGGCATGCCGGCTGCGGCTTTTCACACAGACATGTTCAGGCTCTGTTACCTCAACGTTCTAAATCTAAACTGAACGTTACAAAGCAAACAGCGGCGGGTCAGAGCTAATGCAGCATTAGCTGGCTGCCCTGCCTTACCTCACAGGCTAGTAAACAAATCGCTCCACATTTGTTTTTTTACGGTTACATCCTTTCTTGCAGGTACACAGGATAGTAATATGGGTCGCATTTGTTGGTGAAGTAATGTGAGCATTATAACTTTACACAGGATAACATTAGCAACTGCACAGCGTTAGCCGGCGAGCTAACGTGACTCTCTCCGTGTTTTCTCCAGCCTTTCTGATGTTCACTGTGTTTTTACTCACCATCTTCTAAATCTGTTTGGTCTGATGGGCTTCAGCACATAAAACTTTATTGTTGTTTTTATCCTTATGTGTAGTCTGTATTTTGCTGGGAGTTGGATGCTTTATGGTGTTAGTGGACTGCATGTTGTTAACTGCGGTATTGTCGCTGTAGTCTGAGAGGCTCGGGAGTGCGCACAGAGTTGCATTCGACCCGGTGTCCTCACATTAAAAACAGAATGGCAGTGGCTTTTACAAGCAGCAGAGAAAACAAGGTGTGTGCTTCATTTGTAATGGGGTTTGAGCCTATTGACAATAAGGCAATGAAAATTTGATGTATTAATAAGTAATTTTATTAAAAATTACCCCTGTACCATCTTTAGTTGAGAACACTAAAGTAAGTACTCAAGTACTCATGTAACATCCTCATAAGTTTCTGAGCATCTGTTGTGACTGACATGTGGAGGCTTGGACTATAAAGCCCATCTGATATAATGCATGAGGAGGACAGCCTGTTTTCTCTCTTTTTGTCACACTTATCTTTATTGCATTTTTGCCTTTGTTTGATAATACGAGGGAATAGAGAGACAGGAAACAAGGAGACGGAGCAGGTGATGAGAGGGGGTGATAACATGCAACAAAGGTTCCCGACCTTAAATTGAACACGGAACATAGCGGTTGCTTCTTAACCACTCCACCAGCAGGATGCCCCTGAGCTAATTATTTCAACAAGTAGTCCCAGGTCAGTGAGGTTTGGTCAGATGCTGCACTGCTTTGTTTTGGCACTATATGCAGTATTTAACGCTTATTTTCACAGCTCATTATCGGAAAACTAATCCAGATGGACTACAAACTTGTCACCAAAGAAAACAAAGCTGTTGTTAGTTGTTTTTATATTCGTTTAAATAATATTGAAGATTTTTTATTATTTCTTAATACTTCTGGTGAGAAGTTGGAGGTTTTATAACAGACTTTACAGTCTCAGTATTCTTTGAGCCAGCATCTAGTCACAATAGAACGGCACCATATTTATACATATTAATACAACTTTACACAGTATATAAAAGTAACAATAATCAATATTTTTATTGACTTGTATGTAAAAGGGGTTGTTTGTATTGATGAACCAAAGAATTATCACATGATTCTGCAGGTCTGCTGAGCTTTATGTTTCAGCTCATTGTTTTGGTTTAAGGCTGACAACTTGTTTTGATTCACTCTCACCGCTGAGAAAGATGCAGCAGGCTGCTGTTTTCAGTAGGGATGCACTGAATGAAAATTGTTGGCCAAACGCCAACAAAATTTCTGAACCAATTTGATAAATAATGTTGTATGTGGTTCTCATATGACTTGATAGCCTCTCTTCTGGTAGGACTCTCATACTGCAACACTTCTTTTTTTTTGCTGTTTAGACCCACCAGACACTACCTATTCAGCATCAAACAGCAGCAAGATAAAGATAACGACTAGTGGCGAACATAGTGGAGCATGTAGTTAAAAAAGCTAGATATTTCCCTCAGAAATGAGTAGAGACCAAAAACAATGCTAAAAGCTAAGAGACTATTTGACTTTTTGCTAGCAACTTTGCTGTATTACTTAAAACATCAGTGTTGAGTTTACAGCTTGTTTTGGTTCCCTCAAATGGCCAAAGGAAAATCAGTTACGGGGCTGTGCAGATATTGCGTCTTATCTGCGCATTTGTTATGTTCTCTGTAGCGCACCGAGATGGAAAAATCTCAACTTTTTCAAATGCAGCAAGTCATGTGAGGAGAATTAATCAACTTCACAACATCCAGTTGAAAGGTCAGCCAAACTTAAGATGGAAGAGCACCTGATTATACTCGTTCGGGGATACCCAGAGCTGTACAAGCTGTCAAGTTCTTACTTTTACACCAACAGAAGGAACAGCGCCTGGACATATATCAGCTCAGAAATTGGTGAGCCTGATGATGCGCTGTTGTTATGTTACCAATTGTTGCATTTTGTGTCGTGATAACTTAAATCAACCCAACCCGCAGCAGTTTTGGTTGCTGAGTAACAGCAGGTGCAACAGTAGTGCAACCTCCCAAGCACCTTGGATAAAAGGATGAAAGCGGCACAGCTGTCGTTTTCTACATCATCACATCTGAACGGCCCCTAATGCAGGTATAATGTATTTGGCTCTGAGTTAATACAGCTTAATATGCATGTTGTTGCTAGTTTCTTTGAAATGTTATATTCCAAAAAGCATTCAAACACTTATTGAAATTCCTAATTCTACGCACAGAGTTTTAATTTTCTGCTCACACCTGATTGCGTGACTGAAATGATGAATGTGAGCGAGACCGAGCCAAAAGACAAACCAAGCATTTTCTTTTTCTTTCCATGAACCACAGAAATGTCACGATTTGCTGCTTCCTGTGGTCACTATGATCAGCATGGATTCCTTGGGCACACAGATGTTGATAACAGAATTTTATGCCCAGGTACAGCGGTCTCGTTATTGTATGACAGAAGTAGGCTCCTGTCATTGAGCTCCATCTTGTGAGATTCTCCAAGCAGGCTAATTGCTCAGTTATTCATGAGCAGTCTGGAACCCCCACTTCACTGTCGCATTGGAGCAGATGCTGGCTGCAATACTCCCTCCACCAACTCTTCACAGCTCCCTCCTCTGGCAGCTCTGTCGGAGCACTTCACCTGCTGATTGGTTGGCTTTCTCGAGGACTTGACTTTATTAGCTAAAGCAATGAGGGTCTTGGGCTGGGATGTGTCTAGAATAGAAATGGTGGTTGACAAAGTTTCATGTTGGATCTCCAGAGAGGAATCCTCACTAGCTGTGAGGACACTATGCCATCTCAATCCCTGTGGTGTTAAATACCATGTTTATCAGCTGATACTATGATGCCATAACACACCACAGAGGCGATTATCGAGCAAATTCAATGAGACTATGTGACACTGACTTCCATGTGAGATGAAAATGAGAATGACACTTAGCACACTAAGTGCTGCATTCCACTGGGCTTTACAGGTCACTGTGCTTGTTTACTGCAAATCCCTAACGTACAGAACACAATGTATTCCCAATCACACAATATTAAAACATAATTTTGTTATAATGCACAAAACAATTGCAGACAACAGTGTCAGCATAAACGATGGAAATGAGTATAAAATTTTGAACCTTACACTGTGTTGCATCGTATTCCAAACAATCCTCTGGTTTGCAGCACAAAGGCAGGGAAACAGAAAGTCTTAATTAATTCAGTGTAGGTGGAAGAAATTGTTGCTGGACACGCAAAGCTAAAAAGGCAACTGCTGTATGGAAGACATCAAAATGTGTGGAGAATTAATTAGATTGTGCCAAAAAACATGTTTATTATTCAATAATACAAATAACTCATTTATTGTTGTGCGATTCTAAGAGCCAGCAAAAAATTTAAATTAAAATGATGTATTCATTAACAAAATAACCTATTATTAACTTAACTCATTAAGCAAATTTAAAACACTGTGGGTGAGACTGCTGTTTCACTAAAGTGATTTAATATATTTGGTACAGAGTCAATATTGCAAAAAAGATTTTTTCGGTTTCTGATAAAAATATGTCAAAACACCAACATAACTGAAATACAATTTGAACTTTGTCACTTTGAAAAAGGCTAGAGGGGAGAAAAGAAGGGCACTGTGGATGCAAAAGTAATCCATGATGAGAACTGTCTCTCAGCTGAATTGGTCTGTCAGCTCCATGTTAACCTTTACCCTGATGCAGCATTTTAGGTTTCAAGGTTGTTTGAGATGGAAATCCATGTATCAAGATCCAATCCAACAAACATAAAGCTAATCTGATAGAAAATAAAGGTGTGCTTTACAGCAAACAATTGATGTGGTCAGCCTCACAAAATCTATTCATCTCCTCTTTCATGCCTTTCTTTTCTGTTTGCCAAGTACACAGAGACAAGAAGGGCACCGAACGTGCGCTGCACCACACCTTCCACTGCCCTCGTGGGGTAAAGCTGTTGATTCGTTAACAAACACAAATCGATAGAGGGGCCTGAATGGAGGACAAGTACAAAGAATTAATTTCCGGCTCCAGGGGCTTACGGTGGCAAATCACCAGCTTTAATCAACAGTGTCAAGTCAGAAAGACAAATGATGTTTACACAGAAGCAGTGTCTCCCCTGAAAACAGCAGCATTGGCTCTGTCACCTTACCAGTCTGTCTAGGCTTGTGCCTGCTGCAGTGGTGGGCCGCTCCTCTGGGCTGTACGGCCTGAAGCGAGCGTTGAACACATCCGAAACACCACGGGTAGACCTAGTCATTCCTGCGGGTTTTGGCTGGCCACAGCCTTGAAAAACCTGCAATTACAAAAACATGGGCACCCAACTGTCAGGGCTTTAAATTACTTTGGATACAGAAAATAGGGAAAACATGCTGTTTTGTTAAGGTCTTCTGAAGCATTCACCCCACATTACCAGCATGACAGTACTCTTTGTGAAGTTGAGGTAACCACGTTGATAGGTGATTCAACTAGGGGCTGTGACCAATGCTATTTAAGATGACAGAGTTAAGTTTTTACAGGCTTTTGGGAAAATACCACATATACTTAAACCATAAACAAAACTGCATCTGTTGCATGAGAAAGCCAACAGAGCATTTAGCTCTGAATGAGAACTGGCATCCAAAACTGTGTAGGCAGAAAAAAATCTTCACAACCACCTACAACAACCACTTTTTTTCTTTCTGAATACAATTTTGTGGGCAAAGAAAAGTGCAGTAAAACACAGGAAACACATTAACTACTGTTAGTTGAACTAAGATTATCTGACCAAATTGAAACATATAATTCAAATACAAAACCTAAACTTGGACAGAAAGTGTATTACACACCTTACACTGCCCAGTGTGACTGAAAGCAAACTCTCCTCTCAAGCCGCGTTTCCACCAAAGGAACTATACCTAGGAACTAGGAACCTTTGGAGGAACTCACTGCGTTTCCTCTAGAGGTGGACCAATAATTGGTCTGGACGATTGTTGTGGCCGATATTCAGCATTTTTCCAATAATCTGCATCTGTCATTTTAAAAACAGATAGCCGATATAATTAATTAATAAATAAATGCGCTCCTTTGGCTCTGATTCAGCCGCCTCTGTCTTCTCGAGCCCCCAGAGTGGTGAATACAATGTCCCGCCCACAGTACCAGCTGATTGGTTACAAGTCACAAGTAATAGCCTATCAACACTGACTATTGTGTGGAAGTAGCCAGTAGAACGAGCGAGCCTCCACACTGCAGCCCCTCCCCTCCTCTTTCAGCCGAGCTCTGCATGCAGACACACAGCAAAGTGAATGGAGATACTAGTAAAAGGCAGATACTGTATCATTACAATAAGCAGGAAAAAATATTGCGTATTGCATGTACAAAGCAATGTTTTAATCTGCTCTGTCTCTCATCCACCGCAGCTGTGTTTTTATTTTACACAAGCACATGTGCTGACTTGGCTAATAGCTAGTTTGTCATAAACAAGACGAGATCAGACAAGATACTGATTTTATAAAGTTTTAAATAACATTTTTTTAAAAGGTAATTATTTAGTAATGAAAAACTAGTATAGATAACGAGTATAGATAAAAAAGAGAACAAATAAATAGTATCAATAAAATCCTAACAATATAAAATAATAAATACAATATAAATGGCAGCTGGTAAAGACAAAGATAATGATAATTTATCAATCATAGTTAACAAGTTCATCTCTGGGATGGATCTCTAATTCATTTAATTTACTATTTATAAAGATTAAACATGACAATGAACTGTAATGTTGTTATTTTTAACAAAGTTTTGTGTTGGAGTTTGTGTTATTCTAAATTTTGACACTAAGATTTTACAGCAAACGGATATCGGTTCCAAAAATCGGTCATCTGTTTTATTGGTTACTAATAATTGGGATCTTTTCCACAATTGTTTGCAAACCAATAAATCACATCACAGCTGATGGAGTTAAGCTAATTGACCCTTTGGTAAGCCATGCCCCCCTTGGTTACTGTTGCTAAGTCCGACAAACTGTCGGCGCTGCCACTGTCTACTATTGCACTCCCCAGAGAAATATTGTCAAATTTGTTGGAAAAAGTGATCTCAGAAAGAAGCAGACAGTTTTTCAGTTGCATTATACATTTGAAGGTTATATTCAGGCTGTCGTCTCGACTCAAACTGACGTGAAAAATATGAAAGAAGCTAAAGCCTACCGCTCTCACAGTACAAGTGAACCACTGCATCCCCCGACGATTGAGACAAAAGACAACAAGCTAGCGTTAGCTAACTAACATTACATTAGGAACAGTCCACAGCCTCCATTTTTCTGGATTTATTTTACGTTTTAGAAAGAGAATAAATCGTACTTCTCCTTTCAACCTCTCTGGGTAGCGACTATAACTATTACAAGTGCCCCAGGAACAGCATTTGACCTTGTCTTAGAAAAATACATCCAAAAAAAGCTAGAAAACGACCCTTTTTGCATTAGAGTCAATGGAGCGCATCCATGAAAGTGTCGGACCCCAGTTAGAGCGAGACCTATACTGCGCTGTGATTGGCCAGCTGTGTATTCGGGGCGTGGCATAGCAAAGGGTCAATTCTGGGTCCAGAGTTGTTGTTTTAAGTTTTCATCAGTCAGGAGGTTTCTGTACAGAGCCGAAGTCGGCCTCCTCTTCTCCAAAACAAGTGGAACAGCTGATTACAACAAGTAATACAGCACGTTAAAATCATGTTCCTCTGACGCTCAGGTGGACACAGACTTGAGTGCTGCAGCTGATCTGCATCTCTTGTTGGCTGGAAATGTTTTAATAACCTTCCAAACTGTGGCGATTTTATATTTGTTTGTTTCTCTGTGCTGTAGTTCTTTTATGAACTTGATGGCTTTATCCAGTTTGTTATTAAATTTGTAACAAACTTTATTGTGTGTCTCTTCATTATACTCCCACACAAAAAAGCTTAGGCTCCACAAAAAACATTGTTTTTAATGGTCAAGCATGGCCTATAGGTTTTTATTATATTCCAATCAAATCTGATGTACATTTTGCTCATGGATCGTGGTTACTAAATAATGATGTCATTGCTTTGTACGGCGTAGCCTATATGTCAGCTGGCTAATTTGCCTAATCTTCACAGGACTTTAGACCAGGGTGGAAACGCACACAACAGTAGGCAGAAGGAAATTTTAGTTTCTTGAAAAGAGATCTCGGGACTAAAAAGTCCTGGGTACTTCTGGTGGAAAGGCAGTTTTGCTTAAGTTTGAGAAAAGTTGGAATTCAGCTACCTGTCTGAGGTGTTACTTTTGTTCTCTGGGGAATAAACCTAATTGACATACCCTGTAGGAGACTTGGGCACTGTTATCTTGCATATTCATGATGGCCTCTGAAATCTTGACATCAATAGGCTCCATGACAGATTCAATGTTGAAAGGTCCCTCAAGCCTCTGTGCCACCAGCAGCATGGCATCTGTCATAACAGTGGTAAAAAAGGTGGGGAGATGGGGGGGGGGGAAGAGCAGAGGTGCAAACAAACACACATTGAGTTAAAGAAACACTTTTCACTGGTATCAAAGTGATAGTAAAGTACAATCCAAAATTGTGAATGCTTTACTATCAATATAGCAATTTTTGCCAAGTATGTCAAAGGTCCCACATTGTAGAAAGTGAGATATCCATGTATTTGTTTTTGTATTATAAAGTAGGTTTCAATGCTATATAAATACTGTGAAAATATCAAAACGAGCTGACAGGAATTCGTAACGCTGTGACTATACAGTCACCGCCCCCAGCCATGCCCCCACCACAGCCCACCCAGACATGGCACTTTATTAACAACACCAAGCGGTCATTATTTGCTGAACTAGCAAGCTACAAGACAGACTGAGCATAATATGTCTCATTTAAACACTGCATGCAGTGGAATGATTGCACTGGAGTATGACTGACTATCTCTATTTTTAGTCAATATTTTTAGTGAGATGTATTATGTGGTCCTGTCCACATGCTTAGAGACACATTCCTGTAATGTCTGATATGGTAGGTTCAAATATAAGTAGCGCTTGAGCCTGGAGCCCAGTGCACTGCAACTTAATTAAGACATATGGACACATTTGAATACACATGTAGAATTTCACTGCAAATGTTGAAAGCACAATCTTAAAAAAACAAGAAAAAAGGGTTCCACTCATGTCCCTGGATACATTTCTATTGTGCTGCAGCTCACTTCAGTTGTGTGCATTTGCAGTTTTCCTATATTTGCTTATAATAATAATAATATAATTTCTGGTGTTGCATTTTGTTTATGTGGGTCTGTCAGTTTGCACAGAAAGTAAAAAAAGGCAGTTTGATTTTGTTAAAGGAATCCATCCATCATCAACCACTTATCCTGTGTACAGGGTCACTGGAACCAATCCCAGCTGACATCGGGCAAAAGGCAGGGTACGCCCTGGACAGGTTGCCAGTCCACCACAGGGCCACACATAAACAAGTCCACATGTTTTTGGACGGTGGGAGGAAGCCAGAGCACCCGGAGAGAACCCACGCATACACGGGGAGAACATGCAACCTCCACACAGAAAGGCCAGGACGACCAGGATTCAAACTCACGACCTTCTTGCTGTGAGGCGACAGTGCTAACCACTGCACCATCACGCCACCCTCATTAAGGAATCAAGTAAATTTATTTGTCGTTTTACAACACAGGGTACACAGTGTAATGTAAGTTGTAGCTCCTTCATGCTATATACACATAGAACATGTACACATATAATAATTCTCAATCTTAACACAAAAAAACCCTTAACATCTGGTGGGAAATATAGTCCATTAACTTTGACTATGTTTAAGCATCAAGTATCATCGATGTAAACACATTATACAGTATATATTTACTATACCTACCTAATTAGTACTAAAACAATTAATTTAGATTAGATTTTAGATTTATGGACAGTTATTGTGATAATTGTTTAAATACTTTTTTCATGCAAAATGACCAAGATTGTTTCCAGGTTCTCAAATGTGAGGATTTGCTGATTTAATTGAAAATAATTGTTAACTTCTTATGCTATGTTTCATTGAAGTTCATAGTTTCATAGTTTTTGTCTTGCCTTTTGATTACTACACAGTATTGTCAATCACCTCCGCCTTCTTGCCACAGTCCACCAACACACACTTACAAAGCATGAATACTTCTTTGGGCAAATTAGATTTTTATGCAGATCATCTCAGTCAAGTCAACAAAATTTAATTATGCTGCATGCAACAAATTGTGCTGATGAGTCATTGATTTAATAGAACTTTTGAAAGCCAAGCATTTATTTACATCTGCTGCGGGCAATGAATAAGGTCAGTGGCTCATTAATATCTTTGTGTGGACACAAGCCAGAAGGCCTTGTTGAACATGAGACACTTAACCTTATCATCTCCACTTGTCACTTGTGGTTAACCCTTTTCCATTAACACCTCTGATCATTTAAAAGAAAGATGTTGCATTCAAAATAGGGCTGTGCGATATGACTATATGCATCGTTTGACTATAGAAAAATGTCTGTTGTTTAAAAATTATGCTCTATCGTTTATTACGTTGTGTCGCAAATTCCACACTTTATGGTAATATTTTTGGGAGGGGATGAAGCTTTGCACCACCTTGAAGTGAATATTGGTTTTAACTCCAACTCCAAGATGGGCCGACCGACCCGATCAGAGGTTACCTATGGAGATTACTCAAACTGGGACATTCAGTCAAAATCACATCATAAACACATCATAAGAGAAAGTCCAGCTACATCCACACTACTATGGTAACAGCTTTACAACAAATAACAGTTTTATAACTAATATGATCTTCTCCAACCACAGCAGCGTTATAGCTGCGTATTAGAGTTGATCAGTTGGATAAAATTTGGCGAAAGAAGAAAGTAATACAGACGTATAACCACACCAGGTTTTTTTTTTGCATTAAAGTCCTCAGTTTTTGCCCACAGGGTCAGCAGCGTTTTCAAACAAACATCTTCAGATTCACCGTTCAATCGCTTCCTGTCTAAAAAGACTTTGGTGCTAGCTAGCTTTGAAAACTGCTCAGACCGTGTGGTGAAACCATTTTAGCTGCCAGTGAGTATTGCATCATCTGATCGGCTTTTAGAGACCACCGATCAAACTAGTTATAGCCATTATCGGCCGATTACGATCGGTGTCCGATCGATCGGAGTGCATTGGAGGTTGGAAGACCGCAATATCAGAGACACATACCGTGACATAGATGCTGCCAGTTTCTTAATTCTGTGGCTCTAATTAACTGCTAATTAATTTCATTAGGATAGATCACACTCACACATACCTTTACACCACAAACACAAATGCACACGCAGGGCACACTAGCTAGACTATAGCATACTTGGTTTTAATTTCCAAATAATTGTATATCAAGATTTAAAAATATAAAAATCTATTTGTACACACACGCACACACACACACACACACACACAGTTACTGTTGCAACTATTACTGCTGCTACTATTTATGGTTTTTACTAGGCATATATTCTATTGCCTTTCGTGCTGTTGTTATTATTTGTTTGAAATTATGTGTATTCAGATGTTGGGAGCAGTCAGTGAGAAAACATTTCGCTTCAGTGTTTACTTCCTATACTGTGTTCATTAAGTAGGATGTTGCTGTACAGCCCTGGTCCCCTAGTACCAGTGCTGTGAGGAAGGATGCTACTGTAGGCCTAGCAGAGACAGGGAGGAGGGTTTAGTTGCAACTTTATGATGCAGAGAATTATCACGAGTTACTGTTAGAAATTCTAACAGTAACTCATGGTGCAGATTTCACATTAGCTCAAACTAGTCAGGCAACTGCTGCTGCACTTTAGAGGCTAAATTAGTTAATTGATATTGCCATTCAACAGTGCTGAAGTGCTCTCAACCCCACAGGGTTTATAGACTAATGTTCCACAGTCCCTGCAATGGCAGTTTTGTGTTTGAATGGTGTGCCACAGGGAGCTGGACATCACCAAACCACTAACTCATAACTGAGCAAATCCCATATCTGGAGACATTACTTATGGTGTCAGCAGTGGTATCTCCATCCACAGACCTCACAGGACAAGACCTCACCAGCAGGCTGTCATAATGACTCTTCAATTACCTCCTTACTAAATAGGGTCATCCTGTCATTTGGAGACTACAGAAACAATGGCTTTTTAGGCGTGACTGCTTCAAGAGTTTATTTAATCTGCACTAAAATGCAGTTAGCAGCATGTTGCTTTTTGAAGAATAGCTTATATATTTATTTTGGCTTGCTGCTCCCACTTACCCACCCATCACAAGAGAATGGTATAATTTATTCCCAAACTGTGGAGGCACAGATAATATTCCAGAGAACAGACCAAAAAGCAGTGACTATGTAAAAGCCACATATATGAAAAAAATGGAAAACACTCTGTGTAAATGGTAGCCAAAGACTTAAAGGGGATATAGGAGAGAAATACTGTACATAAAAAAAAAAAACCTAAATTACACTCCAGTTCTTTGATAGCAAGACCTGTCCAGCTTTTCATTCTTCTGGGACCTGGGATCACTAATGGCACAGGAAAAGAGCTGAGAAACATTAGCTCAGCTCTGGCTCCATTTCCTTTCCAATTCTATTAAAGTCTGAGCCTTTGAAGAGCTCTTCTGTTTGTTTACACTGTGGATTGCAAATTGCCTATGATGCTCGCAGAGATTTTTAATATACAGACTACAACAGTGCGAAATGGTTTTCTACAGTAGCACTTCAATTGCTTAATTGTGTTAATGGTCTAAGTGTAGATGAAATAATTAAGGTTTGTTACAACTTGTCTATTAGCATGAATGTTGATCAGCATGTGTTTCTTGACATTATACTGCAATTAAGGCAGAATACTTTCTTTTTGTGTTGTTGCATTTCTTAAAAAAAGTCTGAGTTTGGCATTGCCATATAGCTTCCTGTTTAATCTGATTATGATGTAAATTCATTCAACTGCCTCAGGTATGTCTGCTTACTTTATAACAAACACACATAAAAAAAAGGTTTTAAGACTGTCAAGTGCAAATTCTAAAAATTTAGGTCAAGGGAGCCAACCGGGAGCAACTCATATTTCATAATAAGAGAAAAGAAGAGTGCCTCTAGCATAAGAGACGATGGCAATCTTTCCCGACGATGGTGACTTATCTGCAACTTATCAGATGGGCTTGACAAACAGAGGGGCCAGGAAGTTTGTCTTCATACACAGCTGAGGGACAGCAGACGAGGAAAAAACACAAAGAGAAAGAGAGAGAGAGAGAGAGAGAGAAAGAAAGAGAGAGAGAGAGAACAGGAGAATGAGAAGTGGTGCTGATTGGGTTGAGTCAGGCCGGGGTATGGCTTTATCCCAAAGGAAGAGGGGCTCCTGCACTGCATGTGGAAAAAGTCAACCTACATGGAGAATTAATGACTCTCATTTATGA